TGTTAATTTAAAATTTTAAAATAATTATTTAAGATATAATTATATAATTTATTTAACTATAAAATTTTATATCATAATACTATGTGTTGAAGCCATGACAGAATTTTTAGTAGTAGCGCACACTTACTCAGTTGTAATTTACGAGGCTAAAACACCACCCTTGTGCTTGTGTCCCCAGCTACTTAACTTGTTTAGCTAATGATGATCTTTATGCTATTCTGTTCAAGTTCCTTTGTCTGATCATTCCAATCTTTATGTCTCTCGTAGACATCTTCCATTTTCCTCATTTGGTAAAAATTCGAAAGCGAAAAAGAGTTTCCCATGTTTGATGGAAATTTCAGTAATATATGCTTGCCTGGAATCTAAAGATTATGTTTTTATATGGTATTCCATTGCTTTTACCACTCTTTGTTGTTAAAAAAGATTAATACTATTCCCTAGCAGCCTGTCACAGCTTCTGCATCAAGATATTCTAGCCTTTGTGAAAAATTTTTTGCCGTTTTCTTAAAAATGACCAACTTACACTCAGCACCCAGTGTTTTATACACTCATATTTATAAAGGGTGTGTAGTGTTTTTCTAAAAAAATGAATACATATACATATATATGGTTGCAATAATTTCAAGAATAATTTTGAGAAATGAAGTTCTACATGCTGGTTTGGCGTTACATTACTAAAAATTACAGACGGATTCAAAGATTATTATGTCTATCAATTTGTTTTTAACTCGATGACGATCATATTCATTTTCTTTTAAAGAAAAGCATCGACTCGATATGGTGGCTGCAGCATCGATCCTCTTCTTAATAAGATATTATTATTTTTTAATTAATCACTCAGAATAATTAACCTCCTCCAGAAGGCTAGTTGCTTGTTCATCAAACTTGGTAGAAATCCTTGACTGTAAAAACACTCATGCAAAACATGGAAAGTTTAATCTCATCTAAATCAGTATTATGGTCGTAAATTATTTAGTTATAACATTCAGAATCTAAACTTAATTAAGCAGGACAAAGGGCATCTCCTGTATTATCATATATTAATTTTACTCTTTTCTAAGATATCTTGTACTTAAAAAGCTTTTAATTTCAAAATTCCTTTCAATATGTGCATATGGCTGTGATATGAAACCCAAAGATTTTTTATTTCTTCCTTTGACAAGGAATATATTTTCATCTATTTTGGAGTCTTGTGCTAATTTTCAGTACTAATATATACTCTAAATCCTCATCACTATATTGCATGTTGTGTCCCACATTTCGTATGCTACAGCATGAATAGGCTTTTGGCATATACACCCATTTCATATGTGCAGCATGTATAGACTGTTGGGTAGTTTTTAATTGTTTATCTTTTTTTGTTGTTGTTATTTAATTTTTTAGTGTTGTTCAATAAATTCTTTAAGTTACTAGGCTTTATAAATTATATCCTAATTTGTATAGAATTTTATAATGTGTATATACCGAAGGTTTTTTTTTTTTGTTTTTTACGAGTTGAATAAAATAAAACACGAAATTATAATTTTATATAAGTCATGATTTTCCGTCTAAATATAATTTATATTATTTATTTTTTTATTATTTGAATAAGCCTAAAAATTCTCTCTTAAAAAATTAAACTTAAAAAATTATCAGTTTTAATTACTTTATCGTAATAAATTCAAATATATTTCTGTTTATTTTGTAATTTTATAATTTAACATGAGATCTTGTATTTCT